TCAACAATAACAACCAGATCGTCTGCGATGATCCTGTGAAAAAGATCTGCAGGCTGGAGGAAAATGTGGAGAGATGAAAGGAGCGATGACCAATTGGGGAGATATGAGAGAACAAAAAGTTATCATCACAGGCAAACCGAGCAGTTCTGATAAGAGCTGAATAAAAAACAAGGGGGGGGAATGATTCTGTTCATAAACTCTCCTAAGATTTTACACACACACACACACACACACACACACACACACACACACACACACAGATCTAGGCTGTGTTGGCCTTGAGCGAGGAAACGAGAAGCAGAGCTTCAACCCACACGTGTGCACACCGCTCAGGATTTCCTCTGTGATAAACATGAACTCTGTAACTTCACAAAAGAACAGGCTCAATGAAACTTTACACCAACCAGCTGGAAAAATTACAACAACATGATGTGATGTAATGGAAATCCGCAACTCTCAGGGTTAGCTATGCAACCAAAGACGCTGCCCAGGACTCAACTGCCTGTCAGCAACAGGCCTCTGTATACCAGCCACAGTACAGACTGGGAGGAAGTCAAAGTCATCGATTAGAAGTAAAAAACAAACGGAGGAATGTTCTCATCACCTGAAACGAGACATCGCTGACTGTAAGTGCGTTTCCATCTATTGGTTTTATGCACATTTTGAGGTTTGACTCTTATTTTAATCTTTTAAATGATCTCAGAAGAATTAGCACCACCAGCTGTTTATAACAAAGCATGGTTGTGGGCGGAAATCTGGCTAAAATGTGGGCAACATTTGGATGCAGTTTGTGCCTTTTGCTAATTGCATTATGCGCAACGATGCCAAGGCTTCATTCCAGCCATGAATATTTATGTAACCGGGGTTTATAAATACAAGAAAACCTGTAGTCATTCATCATCCCTTAGCTGTGAGTTCCACGTTTTCTGTATTCAGTCCACAGAAAGAGTGTGAGTGAAGCAAGAAATGAAGCAGCAGAGATACCTGACAGGTAGTAAATTATCAGTTCTTGCAGACAAAAGTCTTTGCTGTGGGTATAAAGCCCTCAGGGATGGTGACAAAGACCGAAACACAATGACTCTCAACTGGGTCACGTACCCACCTTTATTCCTCACACAGGCCATTATTGCTTTGATGGCTACAAATGCACAAATGCATACATTTTATTGTGAGGCAAGAGGTCACACACGTAATTGCAAAAGCAAGGCACACAACTGCAGCAAGGGCAGGAAAATACATGCCCGGACCCCTGAGACAAACTCTGATACCCAAAGAGGGGGGAGAGGGGGCTGTAGTCTATTCCAGCTACTACAGGACGAGAAGTGGGTACACCCAACATAACCCCACCAACTGCACCAGTCCAGAGCCCACACAGACACAAGGAAAACATGCAAACTCCACACAGAAAGGGCCCGGCCAGCTGCTGGAATCAAACTCAGGACCTTCTTGCTATGTGGCAACAGTACTAACCACCGTACCAACAAAAATACAAAATACAGCTCACACGCAAACAAATTCAACTAGGGCCAAAGTGAAGGAATGAAGGGAGAAAAAGAATGCAGAAACAAACTCACGGGGAAATGGCTGAAAGTGCGACTGCGGTTCAAAGAAGACCTGGCAAAGCAAGAAAGAAAAGCATGGGAGCAGATATATACTGGGGGAGTGCCCGGCTAATTAGAAACAGACACGGCAGAAAATAAAAACACAGGAAGGAGAAGAGCTAAACAGGCCTGCTCGGTTATGATGAAAATCATTGAACAGTAGTAGAGGATTTATTAAACTTTTTTTTTTTTAAGGGCGTCGTCCCATCAGAGCAGCGAAGGAGCTGGATGTAGGAGGAGCTGGCGGGGGGGGACTCTGTGTCTGCCGGTGCATTATCTTCAGAGCTGGATACCAGCCGTGCCAGCGTGAAAACAAACCTGTCTCCGCCAGAGCATTCAGTCCTCGGCTGTCAGGGAAATGCACAAATGGGTTTCTGTGGCAGCAGCGAGCCAGTTTTTCACTTTCATGTTTGCGCCGTGTTTTCGACATGAATTGAAGCTGCTGGAAACCAACTTCCACCCTGCTGTAGCGCTGGCAGAATGTCCTGCCCTCCCAGTTTTGCAGGGAAACGGTGTGCTGGGAAAATCGCATTCAGTCCTTTGGCAGGTATGCTTAAATACTTTGTGTGAAAATTCTCCAGACAGGAAGAAGAAAGAACAGAAATGCCCACTAAATAACATCGTCCCAGCATCCTGACAGGTCACAATGAATTTCTGATTGATGAATGGTCATATTTGCTTCTCCTGCTGAGGTTTAAAACACATTCCCATTCTCAGGATAGTTTGTACAGGCTAGCAAGCCTCTGCAGGGCCTTGATCCTTTTGAGACGTATTACTAAACGTTCTCAGAAATACTTTAAATAAGCTGTGATGGTTATTTTTTCATCATTTAATTTAAAATGATAAACTTCATTTTCTTTTTCCTTTACATGTAATATACTGAAGCATCTTTTTTGTTTTCATTCAGATGATTTTGGTTCATATTTCATTAAAATAAGAAATCCAGTGCCTCTAATTATTAGAATATTTCTTAAGATCCTTCAAAGGAAGGTTTGACAATATAGATGTGTCCAGTTTCATTTCATTTATACACTCAGTACTCGGTTGAGGCTCCATTAACAGAATTACTGTATCGGTGTAGTGGTGTGTGGAGTTGATCAGGTCAGGGTGTGTCTGCTGAGGTGTTACTGACGTCCAGGTTGCTTTGATAGATCCTCCCTCGGATTCAGACCAGGCGAGTTAGCCCAGCAATAACACGGTCAGCAAACCATCCATATGCAAAAAGTTCATCATCAGCTGGAAGCAGAAAGAGCTCCAAAATCTTCTGGTTGACTTTAGAGTTGATAAAACAGCATGGAGCACCAACAGCACCAACTCTTCACAGACTGTGGAAACTTCACTCTTCAGACTTTAACATCGTAATTTCAAAATAAAATACAAAACTGACTTTAATCTGAAAAGAGGACTTTGAACCACTGAGAAACAGTTCAGTCCTTTTTCTCCTCAGTCCAGATAAGATACTGTGACGGTGTCTCTGCTTCAGCAGTGGTTTGATATCAGGACTTTGTTTGGACTTGTGTGTAGTGGCTCTGAGATACTGACACCAGCCTCCGCTCACTCAGCTGAAACTCTCCAAAGTTCTTGAATCGACTTGTCATCACAATCCTCTCAATGCTGCGGTCATCCCGGTTGCTTCTGCACCTTTTCCTACCACAGTTTTCCCTCCCAGTCAACTTTCCGTCGATATGCTTCGATGCGGCTGTGAGCGGCCGGCCTTTTCACCAACCTCCTGTGGCTTTCCCTCCTTGTGGAGGATATCTGTCAAGTCAGCAGTTTTCCTAATGTCGTGGTAGCTGGTATGGTCTGGATCGAGAGATACTGGTAATTACAATTCAAACAGTATGAATACCAGTAACTACGTTACTTCCTTCAGTTTATCGTGTTGGTATGGCAGAAAAAAATCAGATAAGTAGAAATAAGAACAAAAGCATGACACATCCTGGTCTCATGGTTTGATTCCAGCTGTTATCTGGCCGTTGGCACATGAAGCATGAGGATCATCAGTATAACGGTGTCTTTAAATGTGTCAAAAGGAAATAAACGGAGACACTGCAAAAACTTACTGATGAGACAGATTTTGTTAAATCATTACAGAATGTGCTGAGTTTGTGCAGGCGTCAAGGTCACGAGACTCAAAAATATTTTTCAATGAAAGTATGAAAACTGAAAAAGGAGCAGTAGGGAGGGAAAGCGCAGCAGAAACAAAACAAAAAGAGAAAACTGGCTGTCAGGAGAATGACGGCAGAACTGCCACAAACACACACAGTAAGTTACAAACTCAAAGAACACAAGAAAAAAGGACCTTGAGCTGAACACTGGCATCAACATCTTACTGTGAAACGCTACGTCCAGATTCTCTTGGTAGAGAACATCTTTTATTAACTGCTGACTCAGCTTTAGTCAGAAAAAACTACAGGACAGTTTCTGTTTTAAGTTCAGCTGCTGGTTTTTTTTAGTCTGGGATTCAAGGACCTTCAAGGGGTCTGAGGGGGATTTGAGGTCTCCCACAAAGTATTGAATCCTTTATGTTTATTATTCTGTTTATTATTTTATTATTCTGTTCTTGATGAGGTGAAAAAGGGGAAAATATATAAGAAACAGTGCTCTGATGGGAGCTTTAGTTTTTATACGCAGCTGTCTCAGAGTCCATATTGTGCTTTGCATAATAAAATAAACTTTTATTAACTTCTTGGGTTGAAAGATGTCATTTGTACCTGATTAAGTTTCATATAATGTTTAAAACAATGTTTAATTAAGCAATGATCTGGATTAAATGTGTGTGAATATTAACCCTGTCCTGTTTGTCTATTTGGTCCCACATGAAAGACTAATAACTAGAAACTTTGTAACAGTAAGCACACACCACGACTTGGCGAACATAACAAAATTGGACACTTTGGGAAAAATCTAAATCTTAGAGCGGTTGGGTTGTTTTGGTTTGTCCAGAAGAGTCTGATTTCGTTAGGAGTGTCGAGACCTGCTAACAGAAGCTTTGTATTTTTGTATACACTGTCTGGATTAGCTGAAGCTGCCTTGACGAGGGTCTTCCACCTTTGCTAAAGGAGTTTGTAGTTTACTAAAGGTGTCGTGAATAACTGTAAGGCGTCATTAGATAAAGCTGCAAAGGGCCACACAGTGGACAGCTGAATGTAAACCTCTTTGACAGACGTGACAGAAAGCCTGTTTTTTCAGCCTGAGGCTTGAATTCATGTTTAAAAATGTTCCCTTTCAGTTGAAACTGACTTAAACAGCTTTACAGACTCACTGCAGTCGTTGGCCTTCACATTAATGACACAGCGCTAACTGCTAATGATCGTTTTATTTTCCCTGTAGGACGCCGTGTGCCACGCCGAGACCAAAAGTTAGACTATTATGTCAGCACTGCGCCAAGTCACCTACCTTTACTGTGGTGGTGGTGGCGATGGTGGTGGCGGTGGTGGTGCGAGGAGGAAATGTGAACATGCTGGGCCAGCACGTCAGCCAGCCTGCCGGCCGCTGCCCCGCTCCCGCCGCTGCGTGTGGAGGACGAGGACGAGGAGGCTGTTGAAGAGGTGGTGGTGGTGGTGGTGGAGGAGGTGCCGTGGATTGCCCTGCTGATCCAGTGCTCCATGCTTATGCTCCCTTCCTGGCTGGACGAGGTTCCTCCGCCGCCTCCTCCGTCTTCTTCTTCACCTTCTCCTCCCTCTTCTTCATCACCGTCCCCCTGACCTTCGCCCTCTGAGCCTGAGGAGGTGTCTGAGGAAGTGAGAAGATGAGGATGGACATTAGGGTTAAAGTTTTATCCAAACCGTGGAAAAATAAAATGGATCTTTCCAAACAGAGGTGTCGATGTGTAAGCCCTACTCCCCCCCTCTGCGTAAAGTCGCTGCAGGGGAGGAACACAAACTTGTTTGTGGGTGTGGAAGCTAAAACGTGTGTGCGTACACGGGTGTGTGCTTCTGCAAGTTTTGCATGGCATTTCCATAATGCCCACAGCGTTATGAGGCTAGTAGTGGTGATATGAATAACAACAGAAGCTGACCTAGTTCTCACACACACACACACACACACTCAAAAGTACTCGATTAGTGTGCACGTGTGTGTTTTCTCTCAGGGCAGATGCAGAGAGAAGGTAACTGTGCGACTGACGAGGAAAGTCCAACAATAAAAAAAACAAAAAAATTGAAAATTCAAATATTTCAACCCAAGAGTGTTACTATGAGACGTTTGATCTTTTTAACTATAAATGGTTCCTTACCCGATAAAGGGTTAAACTGGTTTGCTGCGCTCCAGTGTGACTGACTTTAGT